TCCAACATTTTCCCGTTCGGCGTTAGAAACACAATACATTGATCATAAAATGACTGAAATATTACAGATTTAAAAGCCTGACACCTAGCGGCAAAGTTTAAATTTCACACAAGTAGTGATGAATGGTGACCACTGTGGTGTATTTCGGTCTTGTTAGGCTACACCATGTTCTTTTGACAGGATTATTTGCATCAACAGCCGTAAACAAAGCACCCAAATAAACAGCAGTTTGCGAATATTTATATTGTTGCGATTTACAAAGGTTGCGGCCCGTTCCAACTTTGTAAAATTGAAAATTGTGAACTTTTGTCCTCTATTTCAAGCTTGAAGCCTTCCAAGGCTTCCAAATTTACTCACATAAAATGACTTTCGCTTTATAAAGTCTGTTTCATCGGAAAACTTTTAAGGTTCATCGGAAAAATAAAAAAAATATGTACGAAATTGATGATACCATTCGCTCGTAGTAAGCGGCCATCTTTAATTCAGCGACGAATAGTAATGACGTAATTTTATTTTTTATTAATGACGTATTGTCATTTTGTGGCTAACGATCCAAGATCCGACACAAATGCGTGCCGAAACCTAGAGTCGCTGCGAGCTCTGCCCAGCGACTAACTAGGTGAATACAAACCTGCAGCCAATCACGTTTAGCTTGAGTGCTATAGCTATATAACAAATATAATATATTTATTAATCTAAGCGTTTTCGCAGGTATGTTCATTAAAGTTTTGTATAATTTTTTTTTATTTTCAAAAAGCCTTTGTACATCGATGCTAAGCAATGTCTATATGTATTACAGCCAGGGACGTAGCGACCGGGGGGTGTGGGGTGGGGCGTAAAACTCCTGTGAAACTCAGGCAAAAATCAGATAAAATTTAACTGTTAAAGTTTTGACATTTTCAGGAAAAATTTGCGTAATAAAGTAATTATTTTTGTGAAAAGATAACCTTTTTTGTAAAATACAGTCAATTTACATCCAATTTTTGTGAATTTGCGTTAGAAAACGCCAGAAATGCAGTCGTAGAGCTTCAAAAATGTAAATATTTTCTGGGGACAACCCCCAGACCCCCATTTTCTCCCGAAACGTAGTATGACAGTGCAAATCAATCACAAAAAGCTTTATTATAATTATTACACTTCAGGTAATTTTTAGTTAACATTGGAAGTTTAAATTTCAGGTAAAATCCTCCGACACCACCGTATCCCCCGCAACTTCAGATGCTTCGCTACGTCCCTGCATGCATGATTACAGCGTATGCGCGTAGTTAGGTCGATCTGACTGTGTTTGTATACCCACGATCACAGCGGTGTCCGCCGCCTAAGATGCATGTCTCTGTAATATTGTAGCATGATTTCAATATTACCTAAATTAAAAACCCCTTCCTCCTAACAAAATTTGAAATTTGGGGAAAATAACAGTATAATATTAGATTAATGGGCAGGGCGCTAAAATGGAGTTGAGTTTATTAACAGTTTCTTAGTTTTTAGCTTTGTTTGCCTGAAAATGCCTTGTCGGCAGAATTCAGCATTCAAACTACGACGCACTTGTTCCACTTGCTAAATTTACCCACGAACAAAGATACCCAAAAACCAATACAAATTAAAACACTGATATTTGCCATGGCACAAGACCTCATTTTTATACCGTATATAGCGTTCAATTTAAGTGCGCAAATTCAATATTGCCAAAATGTTACCAAAATTGTGTTCAGCTGTTTCGTAAAACGTTTTGTAAACATCAAGGTGCTATGAAATGAATGTGTATTAAATGAAAATAATGAAGATTAGATGCAAGAATTAAATGAGCATGCTATTAATTTTTAATCCGGTATTACTATTAACCTGTTAAATTATATCCTGCCGACTAATAAATGAAATTGGCAAAAAGACATTTGGCCCATACCCGTCCATCCATGCGCATTATCTGCCTTCACACAGATAGCTCATGCATCCTGACTCGATCGATCCGTTACACAAACGAGTTATTAGAGAGCTTAAGATCTGCGACGCGGTCTGCATGAATTTTAGCTCAAGAAATAAATGTTTGAAGCTTTTTGAAATAAACTTACAAAAGGCGAAGTTCGACCGACTGAAGCGAATATTAGATACAAGAAATCAGCATGCTATTAATTTTTAATTTGCAGGCATTAATAACCTGTATCTTGGCATATATCTCGATGAATAGGTGCATTAGGTCCTGTTTACATGGGACCGGGACGAAGTCAAACCGGAATTAATGAAAATTGAAATTGTCAACATGTTTGCATTAGACTTGTCACAAAATGTTCAATTTATTCCGCTTTTTTAGATGGCTTTTGTTACCATATGTTGCTCCAATGTCAAGGCCAGCTGAGACCGGTCTGAAATGTATTTGTGCTAGTGCATTCATGATTCATCCCTGTCTGAATTCATGCCGGTCTGAAGTCAGTCGGCTCGGTCTAGCAGGCGGGATGACTTGAGACCGGTCTGAGTTATTTTCGACTCGGGCCTGTTTCAAACGTCGCGCTTCTCATGTGCCGAACACATTAGAAACAATAGATAACGAGGCATTTCAGCTGATTATCTATATTGTCAGTTAATTAATGCGTGCGGCACATGAAAAGCGCGACGTTTGAAGCAGGCCTCCGTCTCATGAAAACATCTATTGATAAATAATATTATGACCAAAATGAAATGGTCCCGGTTTGACTTCGTTCCGGTCTCATGTAAACGGGGCCCTAGTCACCTTCACTTCAGTCAATAATTGTTTAATATCCTGCCGACTAAATGGAATTGGCCTATATCATCCATTTGGCCTATATCATCCATTTGGCCTATATATCATCCATCCATCCAGACGCATTATCTGTCTGGCGGATCCACTGGGCGGATCTTCATTCACACAGATATAGTTCATATTGACGCATGATCCGTCTGTTTGCTGCGTTAATACATGCACAGACGCCAGTTATTTCCATGCAGGAGGGCCCGGAACCTAGCTGGGCTAGGGGTATTCTTCATTTATATTTTTTCAAAAAAAATTAAATTTCATAACTGCATAAATTGCATAAACATTGAAACGATTCACAGGAAACTTTATTAACATGTATGGGGTTTTGCACAATGTAAATACATAATACAACACATAATTAGCAACACTTAATTCGACGTATCTCGATGTTACTATTTATCCTTAATGTTCGAGTAGATGACATTATAATTCCGGCGCATTATTTTCTCACTCTGATAACTGCAGTTTGACCACTATATCTGAATAATAGTGCTCAGTTAAACGCAACTATATGTGCATAATGTACAATTGCAATTTTTATAAAAATTGAGTTCCTATCTCTAAACAACTAGTTAAGAACAATAAGAGAGCTGTGGCCATAATGATAGGAAGGACTTTCTGTGGAAAAATCATAAGTGAATTTTGCGCCCAGCAGTGAGGATGGACAATAACATCGCCATTTCATGTTCGTTCGTGGAGGATAACCACCAAGTCTTGCAAGAAGTTCGCCTGTGCACGACGCGCCAGGGAATTGATCATTGCACCACTTCGTTCTCCTTGCCAAAATTGTAAAACCTTGATAACAGAATGAGAGAATTATGATCAAAACGTTGTGGTACCTATAGCCAGGTTTCCACATAAAGGATAAACCAGGAAAAATTATTTCTTAGCCATGTTTTCCAAACATGAACAAACCGGAAAACAATCACACTTGGGGAACAAAAAGTATGCAGTTTCATGGTTAGTCCTTCCTTTTGAGAGGCAAAACTCAGGCCGGCAACAATGTGGACTGGTGTGGGCAAACTGCAAACGGAAAAACATTCGAGGAAATGTTGTGACTATTACAAAGTTTTCCAGTTTGTTCTGCAGGGCGCAACGTGACTCCAAAGAATCCATTAGATCGCCTTACCTGGCAGATAGATCTCAGTATTCCAATTGATTCTTGCATGGGGGGCATATTTCGCCAAGCTGCTCCAAGACAGCACACTTCCATGTACATTGAATCCTCCTGATGACATAGCTATAACATTACTCGCTGCTATTTCATAATCCCAAATATTCAGCTGTGTCAGCGTCCCTATTTCATCGCTTAAACCAATGCTAAAATTCTTTCCTTTGGGTAGTTGTGTTTTCAACATCTCGTTTTGTACTTTGATTTTAGCTCTGTAGCCGTCATAAAAGTATGTGACTGTTCCTTCAATTCCATTCCATTGTATACAAAGAAAATGCCATCGTTGGAAACCACTTGCAACAGTTCTGGTAAAAGAAATGAACACAATCCTCAAGAACAGCGACTTTAGTTGTGAGAACGACACTTTCAGTGAACGTTCGCAATCTATTTTAATCAAAGGTCGATTCAAGTTTGAAAAATTGTGAGCATAAAGATTGTGTTTCAAAGAGGAAATAGAACTACATTTAAGGATATGAATGGGGATCGAAGATTGTTCCAAAGGAAAACAATCCTGTTGATAATTGGAAAAGAGAGAAATGTTGTAAAGGTTAGGTAAGTTTTGAGATTCCGAAGAGAAAGTGACAAAAGAAAAGATCTTGAACACACATGAAAAAGAAGAGCAGGTCGTTCTTTTCCAGCCAATAAGACATTGGAAGCAAATTTAGTTTCTTACGATGCTTTGGGTGATACATGTCAGAGTCTTGGAGAATGAATTTAGTTGCTCGTCTCTGAACACCCTCCAAGAGAGCAAGATCGTGTGAAGAGCCTTGCAAAGCCCATAACTCAATGGCATAAGATAAGTGATATATAACCAAAACAAGATAGAAATATTAATGATAATAGATTAAATAAGGTGTGGTTGTCCACATGGGAAAGTTAAACAACCTAAATAAATCCCTTACTCTCGACCTACAGTAGCAGAGCAATTCAGAGATAAGGGGCAGCGCTCTAACCAGATAAGAGGCAGAGCAGCGCTCTAACCACATATGTCACCCAAAATAATTTCCAAATGGCGAGACTCACCTGATGCTAGAAAAACCACTAATTCTGGAAGTCAATGAGGTTCCTGAACTGATGCCAAATACAAATGAGTTCAAGGCATCATAGGAAAAAATCCTTGTATTTTCACTGCCCGTATTACCACAGAACCAAAGACAGCTTGACAAAAAGTTCATGGTTTTGGATGGTCCTGGATAATTCACGATCGCTAGTGGTAGAGTTATATCGTAGTTCGTCGAATTACCTAAGTTGATTAAAATGTGAAGGTGGTATTAGTGCCGCAGTGTTTAATGCATTTGACTTTTACGTTTGTTTCCAGGGTTTAAATCATGCTATGGTTGTCTGCTTATAATCTGCCTCGGCCCTCGTGTGAGAAAAGTGATTCCAGTTTGCCGATTACATATCGCAAGCCTTCTCGGGGTACTCTGGTTTTCCTCTGTAATAATAATAATGGACCAATAAGGAATACCCATGCATTACCGGACCTCTAAAGAGAACAGTTTAGAACTGATAGAGCCATCATGTATAAATAAAGCTATCTGGTGTAGTTCAGATTTTCTTCCCTTACTGGGCCTCAAGGAAGAACAGTTTAGAACTTAGTATGATATATAATACACTTTATATTCAGAAACTATTCTCATTAAATCCAACCTGAAAAAGCTGCCTTAGACGGACGAATGATTTTTAGATCAGATATTAAATCCTTTAAGGTAAACCAACTGATCAAATCACCATCTCTTGACCCAGGACTTTTGGCTATCTCCTCAATTTCACCACCGGTCTTTGCTTTGCTCCATAAATTCACACGACTTATTTTTCCAACTAAATGGTAAGTTACTCCGTTGTCTATAATTTTCCCGATGGTTAACACACCACCTGATGGTATTGTCTTTCCTGTGAAAACATTTCTGGTCGCCCAAAGAACACCATCAATAAGTAAGATCCACTCGCCGGTAACACCAGACCACGCAAATCCCACATGGTGCCAGTAACCATCATTTATAGGTATGGTAATTGTTCTATAAAAAACATGTAAGAGTTAAGCTTGTTACTGTTGCTTGAGAGTGTATAGGGTGTTGTTACTTGACGAATCCTACTATGACTAATTGGTGTGCTTCAAACGTCTTACCTAACATGCTGACCAAACAAATTTCCAAAATATTCCGCGATTGTCCTTCTGTCTGTTTCCCCGCTTGTCTCCCTGCTTGTACCATTGCTTGTAACGTTGCTTATATCCAATCTTGTATATCCGATTGTATCCCCGCTTGCATCCCCGCTTGCATCCCCGCTTGCATCTTCTCTTGTCGTTCCGCTCGTATTATCTGAACGGAAACCAAGCGCGAACGTTTCTATCGAGTTCTCAGTGACGTATGATACCAGGGGGTATTTAATAAATCCTGGATCAAACTTGATCCAAGCGCTGAATGTGAGCTCGTTGAAGTTCGTGTCTATCGTGCCCAAATCAATGAAGTTGTTAGCCGTGGCTTTTTCGAAATTTATGTCGTAGTCATCTAAAATAGAGAAAAATCAGTCAATTTCTCAGTCTGATATTTGCAGGTTGACAACCATCTTCTGCACGATTGTGCTTAGTGAAATCCATCTTATAACAGATGAAAAAAGAAAAAATTACATTACTTACAACATTCACATTGGCAATACTTTCCACAGTATTTATCAAAACATTCGCATTTGAATCCGGCAGGTTCACAACTGTCAGCCAAGCATCGTCCTGCTCCGTTACATAAATTCTTCTTTACACAGTCCGACTGGAAATGGGAAAAATACTTGAATTCTTATTAGTAAGTCATCATAAGTGATGCGAAAATGTGTAACTTTTGATGACATTACATACTTATATGAGTTATATCTATATTCGATAGCTCTCAATCAGTTCTAAAGTATATATTATCGTGGCTAGAAGATATTTCGTACCGATTCAACTGTCTGTAATATGTACAGTGTCCACTTTTCATTCGTGTCATTAGTTTCAGGCTTTGTTGAAACTTCAGGTTCACCTTGTGTTACTTGGCAGTTAACTTCGTCATAAACGTTTTTGTGTTTGAACGCCTCACAGGTTTTTTCAGCTTGGCAAAGATGTGCACATTCCAAAACTGAATCGACGAAAACTTGCTTGGTAACGTTAACGTGCAATGGTTCTGAAAAGACAGATACCACAATCAGAAAAGTTTAGTTGTTTAATGTTTTGTGGCAAGTTTTCAAATGAAGCAAAGCTGAGATGATTTGGATAAGAAAACATGAAAGAAAGCCGCGATCAGAGACGTTATAGAATGAAGAGATCAGAAGAAGATCCCGGATGAAAGAAATATATAAACAGGTGAAAGATCCGGGTGAAAGAAATCAGAGGAAGATGCCGGGTGAAAGAGATCAGAAGAAGATATCGGGTGAAGAAGGTGCCGGTAGACTTTGCAGAGATCTAAAGGCGATGGAAGCACGGCTGAGATGGTATGGACACAGAATAAGACGAGATAAAGAATAGCCAGTCAGAGACATGAAGAGATCAGAAGATGATGATTATTGTGGAGTATTAGACATTACGGAGGAAGTGAGAAACAAGGCTGAGAATCTTTTATTTTATTTATCTTTTATTAATTAGTCCTTTAACTTAAATTACTTAACCAAAAATAGACACTGGAACATTTTGCACTCTCTATGACCACGTCTTGCCTTCATATTCCCTACCCCTGTCATAGTTTCAGTTCTACACCATTGCTAAATGGCGCAAAACATTTTGAAGTTGAATTTAATTGCTATCAAAATTTATGGCTTGAAACAGGTGCATCATGCATAAAAAGTAATTAAAAAGAGCAGTCTGGAAAAATGCTTTTAATGGTAATGGAATCGGCCTACTTTCCATTAACGAAATTAGAATAAATTAGGGCGTGTTCATATGAGCCCAGCTAAGAGTGAGAACTGCATGCTCTAACTAATGAGATCTGCAACTCTTGTTAACGCATATAAAATTCAGTTTGTGTTCATATGAGAAATCAGCCTCCAGGTGAGATCTCACTTTGCGCTAGGCAGGATCTCAGTCAAGTGGGATAAAATTTTCCATATGAAGGCTATATCCCACCTGACCAGGATGGACCTTTTGCTAATTTTGACCTTATTTTACTATTTAAGTAACTATTTTAGCTAATTCCTCAAATTTAACAGTTAACCTGTTTATATATGTATACATTTGAAACAATATAACTTTCTCAATATCTACTCAGTCAAATATATATACGTAATTTGGTTCCTTGTTGTTCAAATACGTCTTTAGATGTTTCTTAATTGATTTCTTTCAGCCTTAACACTTTCTGGTATACTGTTCCACAAAATTGCTACTCTGTTACTTATATTGACTTTGATTGAAAATCTGTTTCTGATCTAAAAATCTTCGGCTTGTGCCCGTCATGTAGCCGTTTGTTGTTATTCTTATAGTTATATAATGGTGTCAGAAAGGCCATTTGACGCCATTCCATAAAAACACCTAGCTATATCCTAGTTAGTAAATTAGTTTTATATTTTTCTGCAAGGGTTTTCCAATTAATTTGTCTTTCTAACGACGTCCTCCATCGGTGAATCCCACTTTAATCCCTACTGGCTATCCTGGCCGCCCTCACATGCGTTCTTTCCAGAGTTTTAAATTGTGTAGTGTTACAACTTAATTCCCCATAACTCGATACCATAGGTTACCATAGACGACTTTCCAATAAAAGTCCTTAAGCATGCATGTCTCATGGAAGAAAAGGCATCGACTTTACTGAGGAGATTTAACTTCCTTGGCATAATTTAATACTAGCTCTTCTACATGATCTTTGCATTTCATGTTGTCGTCTAACGTCATTCCGAGTATCTTTGTAGTCTTTACACATCTAATTGGGTTCCCTCCAAGCCACAAGGTGCAATATAGCCTATTTGCTTAATTACAACAAAAATGTTTCAAAGACGGCATGTTTATAATTTCGTCCCAGCGATGAAAGATATTATAGATGGAATAAAAACAATTATATACGAACACAGAGATAAACCATCCCATGCACTCAGGTGAGCTTCCCGGAAAACCGGGCGCATGCGCATATGAACAGCCTCTTAGACATAAAAAACGATCTTGGCTATATACCACACTCTACAGAGACCATTTTTTTAAGTTTTGAAAACTTATCAATGCACCGAGCTGGTAACATACTTAAAACTACTGTATACATAAGACTGGATATATATTTATAGTTATTTATATATTATTTCTATAATATATTACTGATTTTTTTACAACTCTTCAGTAACCTTAACTGAAAGGTTGGGACTTGGGGTTTTTTTTGTTGTCTTTTTTTTTGGGGGGGGGGGG